AGAAATAAATAAAAAACATTAAAAAAAAAAGATAAAAAAAAAAAGAAAAGAATCATATAGCATATAACATTTTGGGATTAGATATGTTCACACAGCATAATTCTCTGGCGATTCACCCAGGTGAAAGATGAACAATCTTACTTAATTTAATTTTCCTTATTGAAAGGCTCGGTTCAATACCCAGTTTCTCAAATACCCTTTGAACCAGTTGTATCATTCCATTGGTTTTCTCACTGATGAGTTGAAAAAAACCTATTGTGTGTGTTCCTTCTCTATTTGTATGAGTCATCGACATGCTATAAACAAGTATAAGTATTGTCGCAGTATAGTTGACACACAATGTTACATTAGTTTCAGGTACACAACATAGTGATTCAACAAGGACATTCTCCTGTGCTCACCGCAAGTGTAGCTGCCGTCTGTCACCACACAACACTATCACTGGACCACTGACTTTATTCCCTATGCTGTGTCTTTCATCCCCATGACTTACTCATTCCATAACTGGAAGCCTGGACCTCCCACTCCTTTGAGCCCATTTTGCACCCCCTCGCCCTACTCCCCTCTGGCAACCACCAGTTTGTTCTCTGTATTTATGGGTCTGTTTCTTTATGAGTCACATTTTAAACTTTTTGAAAATAATACTTTGATATAATTACTTATCCCATGCTTGCCCCCTAGAGAGACTTTCCAGTTTGTTCTTTTTTTTTTTTTTAATTTAGAAAACTTGTATCTAGTCAGAAAAGATCAGGTCACCTTTTTTCTCTTCCAGCCAAAATAAAAATATAATTTACTTTGTTTGAGTTTCAAAGTAATGAAACCTTCAACGACAGGTTATTTCTGTGAGATTTGGGGGTGAGTTAAGAAAGAAATTTTAAAATAGCATTCTTATCCTATGCCACTGGCTTACTTTTCATTTTTTAAGCAATGATTCCAATAGTATATCAGTATAGGGACTTATGAATAATTGGTCAAAAAACTCCATGTGTCTTTCAGACTTCAATTTTTTTGCTTTAGTGAGAGAAGCAGATAGTTTATAATAGAGATTATCACTTAATAGAAAAGGTATGTTTTCTCAGATGAGATTAGAAGCCACTTAGTCTACTCTGCTGTTTCAGAGCATCACTAAAATAATAATCTTTTTTCAATTTTAAGTAGGCTTGTAGGAACCCAACATGGGGCTTGAACTCATGACCCTGAGATCATGACCTGAGCTGAGATCAAGAGACAGATGCTTGGGGCACCTGGGTGGTCCAGCTGGTTGAGTGTCTGATTCTCAACCTCAGCTCAGGTCGTAGTCCCTGGGTAGTAGGATCAAGCGCCACATTGGGCTCCATGCTCAGCATGGAGCCTGCTTAAGATTCTTTCTCTCCCCCAGCCCCTCCTGCACTTGTGTGCACGCTGTCTGTCTTCCTGCCCCGCCCAGAAGTCAGACATTTAATTGACTGAACTCACCTAGGTGAACCTAAAATAATAATTTTATTTAAAAAAACCAACAACAACAAAAATTTATTTTGGGAAATCTCAAAAAAACATAAGTAGAAAGAATAGTATAACAGACCTCTACGTAACCATTTGAAACTCAATATTAGTAATACTTGGCCAAACTTGTTTCATACATACCCATCATTTCCTCTAATTCAGTAAACCCCAGACATATAATCTCATCCATAAATACTTCAGTATGTATCTGTAAGAGATAAGACACATTTTATTCATTTCTTTATTTAAAAATTTTATTTATTTATTTTGAGAGAGAGAGAGAGAGACAAGAGGGGCAGAGAGAAGGGGAGGAGAGAATCCCAAGCAGGCACTACACAGTTAGCACAGAGCCCTATGTGGGGCTTGAACTCACAAACCCTGATATCATGACCTGAGCTGAGATCAAGAGTCAGATACTTAACTGATTGAGCCCCCAGGTGCCCCAATTTGATAACTTTTGACATATTATTCACCTGCAAAATTATCACCACAATCAAGATGATGAACATAGCCATCATCCCAGGCTTCCTCATGCCCCTTGGTAATCTCTCCCTCCCAATGTCCCCGCATACTCCCATCCCTAAGTAACCACTGATCTACTTTCCATAGATTAGTTCGCATTTTCTAAAACTTCTTTAAAACGTAACCACACAGGGGTGCCTAGGTGACTCAGTCGGTTAGGCGTCTGACTTTGGCTCAGGTCATGATCTCGAAGTTCATGAGGTTGAGTCCCACATGGGGCTCTGTGCTGACAGCTCAGAACCAGGAGCCTCTTTCAGATTCTGTTTCCCTCTCTCTGCCCCTCCCCCATTCGTGCTCTGTCTCACTCTCTCTCAGAAATAAATATACATTAAAAATTTTTAATGGAACTATATAATCTGTGTACTTTTTAGATTTGGCTTCATTCCCTCAGCATAATTATTTTGAGAACCATAGCATTGTGCATGTAGCAATCATTCATTCTTTATTGTTGCCAAGTAGAATGGCATTGCATGGATGTATCACAACTGCTATACCCATTCACATGGGATGGATGGATGGATGGATGGATGGAAACCCAAGGTGGATATCTGGGTTGTTTCCAGTTTTTAGTTATTACAAAGAAAGCTGCTATGAATATTTGTGTAAAAACTTTGTATGTACATGTGTTTTTGTTTCTCTTTAGCAAATATGTAGGAGCAGGACCAGTGGGTCATAGGGTAGGTAATATTTAACTTTCAAGTAACTACCAAATTGTTTTCCAAACTGGCCGTATCCATTTATAGTCTCTCCAGAGGAGCATGAGAGCTTTGAAGCTCTGTATTCTCACCAACATTTGTAATGGTCAGTCTTTTTTCTTTTTTTAATGTTTTATTTATTTCTAGGAGCAGGGGAGGGTCAGAGAGAGAGGGAGACACAGAATTGGAAACAGGCTCCAGGCTCTGAGCTGGCTGTCAGCACAGAGCCCAAAGCAGGGCTCGAACCTACGAACCATGAGATCATGACCCGAGAAGTCGGAGGCTTAACAGATTGAGCCACCGGGCACCCCTAATGGTCAGTCTTTTAACTTTATTCACATTTTAAATGTTCTAATACGTAAAGTCTCTGTTTTCCAACTACATTCTATTTTGGGCCCGATAGTCTTTGTAGCCTTTAACCAAACAACATACTGCAACAGACTGAATGCAAAAGAGAATCTATTTTCTATTAGACCAGACATGAAAGAGACTAGCCAAAATGTAAAACAATGCCATTTTCTCACCTTTTTTTTTGTCTTGGAAAATATAGTTGTTTCTCTAAAAATATAATATAAATGGGCTTACTATTCTTTTTAAAATTAGGATCAAATTCATGTCACATAAAATTCACCATTTAAACGATTTCAAGTGCACAATTTAGTGGTTTTTATTATATTCACAGTGTTGTGACACTATGAATATTATCTAATCTTGGAGCATTTCTATCACTTCAAAGAGAAACCTTGTAACTTCCAAATGCCCCTCCCTCACCCCCTGGCAACCACTGATATACCTTCTGTCCCTGCGGATTTGCCTATTCTGGACACACC